CCAGGGGAAAGGTGACGTGTCCCGGGGATCCCCAGGGGAAGGTGACGCGTCCCGGGGATCCCCAGGGGAAGGTGACGTGTCCCGGGGATCCCCAGGGGAAGGTGACGTGTCCCGGGGATCCCCAGGGGAAGGTGACGCGTCCCGGGGATCTCCAACTTTCAGACGCTGCAGGAGAAAAGCAAAGATACCGTTGTAAAGGTCTGGTCAAATCGTGAAGAATGCATACCAAATTTTTGAACTTTGGTCAAGTGTGAGATAACCACAGGTCATGAAAGGTAAAAGACGGCCGTTCTGATAGATGCCAGATACGGTTGACGGTAACTGAGTGCACGGAAATAGACACTAAGGCTATGGGAAATCCATTCCGACCATCCTTTTTCCCACCAGAGTCAGGTCAGATAAGATCACCGTTAAAGATTGGTCTACCAGTAGCCTACAAAAACAACATTTCCCTGTTTATTTTATTAGGTGCAGCTGTGGGACAAAAGTATTTCAGACAAAAAATACAATTTTAGGTTTGCCCGGAGGTCATCTGAGAGCAGCTTAGGTATAATTTGAAAATTATTCAAATGAAAAAAATTAAGAGCTAATTGAGTCCAAGCGTTCCTTACAATGCCTTCTGTGGCCAAAAATAGCGTGATGCACACTTACTGCTGCTCAAGATTGAGTAACTGTTGTCCATGTTACACACAATCCTTCGACGATTGACAGCATATTTATAACAGACTGAAAACAGGCACGTAGGTACATGAAAGCACACGTCATCAGTTTCACAAGCACGAAAAAAAGATGTTTACACGCATCGCACTCGCCTATCTAGCCTCTCTGCTAATAACATACCTAATTGGTCTTGGACGATCTCATACGACCTCTTGTGTCCTTGCGTGACCGATTATGACCCCATAATGCTTTTAGACCCTAGAATGCTTTTACAACATGCTGTCAATGGAGTATCCGAACTCCACTGAAAACCTTCTACAAAACACATGCTGAGCCAAAAATAGGTAGCTATGCCTGGAAACTTTGGACGCAGGCATCCATCGAGGTAGGTCATGACCTTGGCCAAGGTCACGTGCGCTGTGGTCATATGATGGTTGTGTATGTGAGTTTCTACTATTTTTCTTATATAAAAACGCCAAAACTACACAAAATACGTACAAATTTGCATTTGTACGAAATATAGCAAACATTGACCTGATATCAGGTCGCTGACCTGACCTGTTTAAAAACATCTGAAAGATGTAAACGGTTGGTACTATCGCGTTCTATTACTACAAAAAGTTGAAACAACGGCAAATGACCCACAAAAAGATATGCGTGACCATTTAGTTTTTTGCTTTTTGTTTTTTAGCAGTTAACCTCTTTGACCTGACCTATGATCAATGATCTTGGTGGATCAAAACTCTGAATTTGCACAAAGGATGTCAATTTGATAGATAAACAGGCACGGGAAATAAATTGTGTGCTGCTGCAAGCGTTTGTTTTTTTACCTGTGGTCAAAAAACCATAGGGAGAGGGGAAATTCAACTTCCCCCGTCTGGCGCGGGCTATTACAGGGACCCTCTTGATGCAGAAAAGGTTCTCTTTATTCGAAGAAGGGCTTGTTGTGCCAGAAAAGGGCCTGCATAGATGGGCCTCGTGTTCTAGAGCAGGCTTCTTTCGTCACAAAGGGGTCTCCAAATCCAGCAAAGGGCCTCGTTTCTCCAAGACGAGGCATTCTGGCACGGAAATGCAGCCACCTTTTTCCATTTAAGTAAGCTTCAAATGTTTCGAAATTTCTCTAGCAGCCAGGCAATATTGAATTGTCGGCATATCAAATGGCAGCAATGAGATGTTCCGCGCTATGTTCGTGCGTTAGACTTTGTCAGCATTCACATGTGATCGGCAATGTCAGAAGGTTTTTGATCATGCTAAACAGGGGCAGTCATGAGGACGAAGCGGGCTTGAGCTTCGGCTTCGCCAAGTCGCAAGTTTCCTTTAATGGTTTCTGGTTCGGCTTCCATTGGTGTTATTTTTTCAACACCTGTCTTGGGCTTCTGCTTCAGCTGATGTTTGACTTATGGGTGCGGCTTAAAACCAGGCTCCTTTAAAATTGTCCAGGCCCTGGCGGGCTTCGGCCGCGTGCGCCCTTGAACTGATGTGTTCGGTTTCGTTACGGTGAATACTTCTCTGCAGTAGCGATTTTATTTCACAAAACGTGCCCACCCTGTCATCCCAATAAACGTACCACACAGCTTTTCAAGGCTGTAACACATGCATACCCGAAAGCCACACACCAGCCCATGACCATGAAGTAGCAGTGTGCGCGTAAACGGGCTAAATAATGCTGTCGCTGTTGAGGGACAGATGAAGTCGTCGCATGAAGACAGTGATATATCAGATTTGCCTTAATTAGTGCTATGTTCCAGAACGTAGACCGTAGAAATGGTCTACTGTTTCTGTGAATGCTTCCTGCCTATTGCTTAATTGTTGAGCGGCATAGAAGACGAATTAAAAATCTGACGCGTCGTGGGTGCTTTGGTCCCTCCTATTGAGGTGGCTGGTTATCCGATCATATAATGCTCAGGAGCCGACCTTAAGGGTGGCGGCGTGACCTTCTCTTGACCTTTTGGCTCAGGTTTCGATATTCACCATCCATGTTAATCTTACGGCGATTAAGACGAAGAGTTATCCGGTTTGAAATGTTTAGACAGAACAAACAGATCTTGGGGAAGAAGCTGGTTGAGTAAAATGCATTTCAACGCATTCCATGGCGCTCATTTCTTAAAGGGCGTGGCTCATTAAAAAAACAAACTTTAGGGCAGACAGTTCTCAATACCAGTGTGCCACGTAAGAAAGCTTCCCGGGCTGAGCAGGCCTGTGTACACATATGGGATGGGTAACCGTTTGGGTTGGTGCAGATTTTGGGGTAGCCGTTTGGGTTAGTGCAGATTTTGGGAAAACCACGGTTATAAAGAGGGGTAACACCTGCACGAAATGTAATCAATTTCCGGTGCAAAGCAGCAAGTTTGGATTCAAACTTAACGCAAATCACTTCATTTTAAAGACAGTTC